GAGGGACAGGTTGTGGCGCACTGAGTTCTTCCAGCCAGTAGGGGCGCTGGAGAAATATGGAAAATGTTTGAGGATCCAGCTGTAGATGTCCTTCACTGGGAGAGATCTGCTGGGCGACTGTTCGATAGCCATGTATATCAGTAAGGAGAAAGAGAATGGAGGCTTTGACTTGTAAGGATCTCTCTCGCTTCCTGCAGAGATAGAGGAGGTGGACGAGGCGGTGTTGCTGTGTGGCGACCCACCGCCTCCCTCGATGTCAAACAGCGGGCTGTTGATGGGTTGCGCTTCGCCTCCGAGCGTGAAGTTCTGCAGCAGGTTCTCATGAAGCCAGTTCAGGTTGGTTAGTTCATCATCTTCAGACTCACCCGCCACCACACTCAATGCTCCAGCCCGACCAATCTGGTCTAGACTGGTAGCCATGGGACTGGAAGCACTCTCTGCTTCAGGTAGAGTCCCAGCTCCACACACGCCCTGCGCTCCGGGAGATTCGGCTTTCTTATCTGGAGACATCCCGATTATCGGACCCATCAAACCAGGAGGGTCTGTGGAAGGGAAGGGTATTGAAGAGAACAGAAAGTGGGCACTGGTTACTACAACTGTCAATCACAAATAAATGTGGGTGTATTTATTTACTGAAATGCAGAAACTGAAATTAACATTTTCATTTGGCTGAAACTGAAAATAATGTTTCGTAAATTCAATTTGGGTAATTGTTCTTTTAATGCTGTTCAGAATGTCATGTTCTCAGGAGATAAATTAAACCAGTCATAGTAAAGTTCTTCAGAAATGCCTCTTAAAATTTCAGCTACATATTGGTACAATATTTAAAATAAATATTTAATTATAGGTGCAAATTAATGGCAACAAAGTACACTAAGAGTTTAGGTGCAAAAAACTAAGTTAATAAAAACTGCAAATTGGCGCAAAAAGTTTGAATAACAAAAAAAAAATGTAAGTCATGAATTGAATTGATTTGGTGTCTACTTGAGGATTCACACAACTATATTATAAATATGACTGAATGAACACTGGACAATTTTTGGTCATGTCCGCAATGATGACATGTTTACCTATT